GATGCCAGTCACAGGTGCTAGTGAAACGTTAGGAAACACAACTTCAAGACCACGGCCACACAGCCCAGAAGACCCACACCAGCCATCGTATGCCAGCCGTGAAAGCCTTCGACAATACATCTCTTCTGTTACTCCACAATTTATTTCAATGGGAAAGGCAGCTTTCTGTTGAAGGTGTGGCCTACCTGCTGGTGCCCTGCATCCCGTCTGCTGCAGGGAGCCTTTCCCAGCCCTTCAGGAAAGAGCGGATTTTGTTCCAAGGACCTTTCCCGCTGATGTTTTGGTTGCCAAAAGGCTTCTCCGATATTTATCATAAAAAATGCTCTGTGCGGGGGTCACCAGGATGAATACGCACCCCTGGCCTGGGCTGGAGTGACCCTTTCCTTCAAAGAGAAAATGCAGAGTTTGGGAATCCTCCTGGACTCTCGCAGTCAAGGGGCTGCATGTGGAACGCAGGGCAGGATGCAGCTGGGGGGCCCCTGCCTGTCTCACGCCCTGAGCTCCATCTGGGGCTGTCTTTGGAGATGGGTGGGGCTTCAGTCTGAGGCAGCGGGGCACCCAAATGGTAACGGGGGGGGGGGCAGGCAGCTGGAACACCCTGCGTTGGCTATGCCGGTGGTTCCCTTTTAGGGGCTTGGGACTAAATCCTTGAAGGGACCTCTCACCTGCAGCCTGTCCACCCCAGGACAGGACCATTGTCCTCTTCTTCCCCAAGTTGGTGAGGTTCTTCAGACTGTCCCTCTGCCCTTGGCCAGGAAGTCCCTGTGTGTTCCAGCTTTCCTCTGAACTGCTTTTCTTCTGGTGTGTAATGACTCTGGAATGTTGTTTTCAGTTTTTGTATTGGAGAGGGTATACGTTTTAATCAGTGTTGTGCTAACTGTTCTGTTGGTTATGGTTTCATGGCTAACTCACTTCTGTGCTCCAGCTTTCCCCAGCAAAGGCTCTTCTGTTTTTAGGCTGCTCGCTGTTCAGTAAGCAGTTATGAATTCTGTTGCCTGCTTTGATGTTATTGATTCACTTTACATTATCCTGATACATACATTTTATTGAGCATTTTCATTTCAGCGTTGCTGTCTGGATTTAAGCTACCTTGGGCTAGCTTTACAGGGAGTGAGTGGGTTTGAAATGTGAGAAAATAATCAATTGATAAATAAACAACTTTTAAAATAGCAACGAAGGCCACAACAATGAGCCATTTTTTAAATGCACATTGAAAAGCTAAGGGACTTCCTAGTTCTCTCCAGGGTGGGATGGAAGCTTTCATTTATGAGGCTGCTGCAGAAAAGCCTGCAACTGCTTGCATCCCTGCTGCTTGCGAAGAAGGTTCCTACTCAGGGGCAGAGACTCTTGCAGGGAAGGGCTGTGAATGCCCTGAATACCAAAGTGGTTTATGTTGTATATCTTCTGCCTCGTAGCATCTGATGGGTACTTTGCCAGACAGGCAGAGAAAGGTACGACCCGGTCACCAGTTAGGTGCTTACTGCAGGAAAATGCCTGGGGGGAGGAAGGCGGCTCCCTGACCCAGGCCTGAAGCACTCTCGAGGGTGGCTTCAGCATTGTCCCCCCAGCCTTAGGTGCCAGGGCCACAAAGGCATCCTAACTTTTCAGTTGGGCTGCCGTCGTTCTGCGCTCTAGCAAGAGCAACGCTGGCCTGCCTGGTGAGAGGGCTGTGGGAAGCAGAAAGCAATGCCCAGCAGAAACTTCAAGTTGCCGCGCAAGTAACATTTCCCAGTACTCCGCTCCAAGCCATATCGGAGGTTGCACCTTCCTCCAACATTCCTTTGGCAACCACTGAATTCTAATTGCGATGTGCTTGCCTTTCAGGACAGTTAAGGCAGGCCTCTGACTGGATTCCAAAGGACCCTCAAGCCCCCTGGGGGTAGGCCCCCTTTTCTTCCAGCCGCCGAACCCAGTTTCCTCCCCTTCCTCCCACAGGCACTGGAGCAGGAACGGTTGCAAAATTTCCAGCAACTGTGCCAGCTGGAGGAAGAGGCCCTGGTGCCCAATCAGCAGGAGATGGAGTGCCGGATCTGCTACCTGATGGTGGAGCCAGGTAACGGTGTGCTGCTCCGGGAATGCCTCCACAGCTTCTGCAGGTAAGTCACCTGGGAGAGGACAGGGCTGGGGCTTGCCTCGCCTCACCTCGCGCCACGGTCTGAACCGTGCTCCTCCTTCCGCAGAGCCTGCCTGCGCCAGCTGATCAACTGCAGCCAGGAGCCCCAGGTGGCATGTCCCTTCCGGGATGATGCCTACGCTTGCAACAGCCACCTCCAGGATAGGGAGATCCGTGCGGTGAGTCCAGCAGGTTCAGGGGCTAAAAGGCTGCCAGGGGAGCCAAGTCTCAGAAGGGATGTCGAGCAGACCCACCTGGGCTGGCTCAGGGGGACATACAGATTCTGTTCGGCACCATGGAAATAGTTTAGGTGGCAGCCCACGCCCACCCCATGCCCACCCCTCTTGGCAGGGGCTCTGAAGCAGCTCCTCCCTCCCTGCAGCTGGTGGCCTGGGACGAATATGAGCGCTTCCTGGAGCGACGGCTGGCTGTGGCGGAGAGCCGCACCCAGAACAGCTACCACTGCCGGACAGCCGACTGCCCTGGTTGGTGCATCTACGAGGACGACGTCAACGAATTCCGGTGCCCCATCTGCTGGGCTCTGAACTGCCTCATCTGCAAGGTAGGCACCTGTGGACCGCCCTGTCCTAGCTGGCCCACTTGGCTTGGGAGGGAGGGAGGGAGATGAAAGCGGGGGAAGACACCGGCAGGAGAGGCACACCCCTAAATGCCCCCATTTCCACCCATGTTGCCTTTCAGTTCTTTCAGCAGCCCCTGCCGGCCTGCTTGCTGGCTTCTCCCAGTGAGAATGGCAGCCAGAAGCAAATTGCCCTTTTGTTTTCCTCCGCATTCCTCCTCTGCCAGGGAAGGGTGGGTCCTAGGACCACAGCCCCAAGTCAGCATAACAGGGCATCAAGAAAAGTTCTGGCCTGTCTTCCCACTAGAGCAGTACCTTGACAGGAGCCCACCTGACCTTGCTGGCTGGCTGCAGCGGAAAGCAAGGCTGCGGCCGCTGGCTTGCTGTTCCAGGTGGGGCAGGAAAGGCGGGGTCCTCACCCCTGCACAGGAGGGCCCTTGGGGGGTGGAAGGGCTGAGCCTGAAGCTGCCTCCTGCCCACAGGCCATCCACGAGGGCATGAACTGCAAGCAGTACCAGGACAAGTTGCAGTCCCAGGCCCACAATGATGCTGCTGCCCGCAAGACTAGCAACATGCTGAAGGTGAGGACCTCTCCCTCAACCAGGCTGCCTCCTCCTCAAGGGATGGTGGGCCAACACTTTAGCCAGGCAGCCATGAGAAGGGATGCTGAGGGGGCAAGCTGGTTAAGGAGAGACAGAGTCCCCTCTGCGCATCCAAGCCTCCCCTGGCGTCACGGGGCCTGCGTCTTCCGGGCAGCTGACCGTATCCTCTGTCCCTGTCAGATGCTGGTGCAGCTGGGAGAGGCTATGCATTGCCCTGCATGCCACATCGTGGTGCAGAAGAAGGGTGGCTGTGACTGGATCCGATGCCCTGTTTGCCAGACAGAGATCTGCTGGGTGACCAAAGGGCCACGCTGGGGGCCGGGGGTACATGTCCTGAACGGGAAGGGAGGAAATGGATGGGGAGGAGGAAGCAAGAAGGGCTAGCCTAACTTTCCAAAGTCTGCCTGCTGGGAGAGTCTAAGGAAGTATGTGCCCATGGAGCCTGGCCTGCTTCCATCCCACACCCGGCTGCTCCCTGCGCCAAGGGCTCTCCTCTCGTGTGTCCCAAGCCACCTAACAGGTGGCAGAACTGTCCTCCAGGAAGCCCACAGACCTTCTGCCTTGTTCTGGCTGAGTGGAGCTTTTGTAACGATTGGTCATTTCAATTTTTTAGAAGCCGGGTTGTGTGCGAGGACAGTCATGAACTAATTTGAAAAGAAACCTTTCTTCCTTCTGACCAGCACGTCTGATCCTTTGAGCCAATGAGCTCGGAGGACAGGATCAGTCCAGGAGGCAGCCTCCTTGGAAGCTGTTGAAGGGGTCAGCAAGGGCCTCAGCCAGCAGGGCTCCCCCTCCGCTCACACCCAAAGGGTCGGGGACAGTCGATGCTACACTGGCTCTGGCGCACCTGCAGAAGTTTCTCTGGGAAGGGCTGCCACATTCAGTCCTTGGATGGCCCGGGGTGGGGGGGGTCAGGAATGAAATACTGGAAACAGAGCAGGCGCTTGAGTGCTTCCTCTGGCTCTGGCTTTATAAAGACCTCCATGAGGTTGCTGCCTGGCTCCCCAAAGGCTGGCAGGGGGCCCTCACGCAGCCTGGTTTATCTGTCAGTCACCCCTCGAGAAGCGGCTCTCAGCTGCTCCCCCATCCGATTATCTGCCCTGAAGCAGGCAGGTGCCGGTGATGCCAATAGCCTCTGTAGCCCTGGGCTCAGGAGGACAGCAGGCTTCTGGAAAAGCGTTGAGCCTCAGCATCTCCAAGGGCACAGTGGCAGAATGCGAAGGGGGTAGGAGGGAAGCAGGTGGGTTTAAGCTGTGGTATCACAGAGGGGCAGGAGGGGGCTGGAAAGGAGGGTCACCCACCAGGCCCAAAGCGCCAGACCCCACCCACCCCTCTCTTACAGGGCCCTGGCGACACCAACGGGGGCTGCCGGTGCAATGTGGATGGAGAGAGATGCCACCCGATGTGCCAGAACTGTCACTGAGCTTTTGCCAAAGGGAAGTGCGCAGACAAGACTTCAGCCCCCACCTCAACAGCACAACCCCAGACAGAACTCCACCTGGCTCCTGGGCTCAAGCCTGCCTCCTTTGGCGGTGAGGCACAACATATCTCCCTCCTTGGCTTTTCCTCCCCGTCCTGGACTTCTGACCACATGAGGGCTGAAAACATGCCACCCTTTGCAGCTCTGGTAGATGCTGTAGTGCCTGCCCAAGGCCTGTTGCTCTGCATCTACCTTGAAAGCGAGCAACCAAGGGATGGTGTGCTTTCTGACATCACTTGCAGAGGAAGAGTCAGAAAATAGGTTAGTCTCTCCCTCCCTCCCGCATGAATTACTTGATTCCAAAGCCCCCCCCCCCTTCAAAGGCTTTAACTGACACTTCTGGCAACCAAGGCACAACTATTGAACTTTGAGAGAGCAAAACCAGAAGGAAGGGGAGAGACTCTGATATAGGTTGCTGCACAAGAGGAGATGACCTTCCCAATAAAAAAAAAACATACCAGCTGTGACCTGGTGATTCTTTTCAGGGAAAAAAAAGAATTGCGGGGGGGGGGGGGGCAGGAGGGGCCACAGCTTAGCCAAGACAATCCACAGGCAGAGAGAACTCTGCATTTCAACAAAGCAACTAATTTCTGGTTGAAGAAGCACATTTATTGGGTGCCTGCCACCCCTTATCCCAGGGTCCTCTTCCCAAGGCTCTGAAAGTGACTGGATGAATGGTGAGAGACATTAAATAGCAACCAGCGCACTCAGCAGCACCCATCCCCTGCCCATCTGCACGGAGGAGGAAGTACTATCGATGCTCTGGCATCTGAGAGAGGTCTGTCTCATCCAGAGGTCAGTCACGACGCTGGTAGAACATTTTCCTGCTCAGTGCAACCGAAAACCTGTGCTTTGTCAAGTAGTACACGAAGGGTAATATCATGGCTCCAATCAGCACTGCCTGAATAAAGGGAGGAGAGGCTGTCATCGAATCCCCCCACGGCACCACCCTGCAGGCCAGGAAAGCACCCAGAGCCCGCCTAGCAGATGCCCAGGGAAACAAGCACATCAGAGAACCCCCAGGTTCCTGCCCCATGCTTCTCCAGCAGAGGAATGCACACCTTGAGGCCTATCCGCTTGCGGTCGTCAAATTCTGGTTCTCCTGCCCATCGTAAGAAAGTGCAGACGTCTTTGGCAATCTGCGACATGGTGGCAGGTGTGCCTATAAGGGAGCAGACCCAGGTGGTCATCAATCCAGAAGAGCCCCAGGAAAGGAAGAGGGACCCTGCCAGGCCCAGCCCACTTACCATCATCGTACTCCACAATATCATTGTAGATTGGAGGGGCCATGGCTATTGCTTGTCCAGAAAAGTAGGGGTTGTAATAAAGCCCCTCTCGCACAGGCACACCAGCGGGGGGATCACAGTAGCCAGTGAGAAGGGAGAAGACGTAGTCCTCGCCTCCATGCCTGAAACAGAGGGGCAGTGAGGCCCGGCTTTTCCAGGCCTCTGGCAATGCACAACCGCCAAGGCTGTACCCAGCCCCTCAGACAGGATTACCTGGCTTTGAGAATGAGGGTGAGGTCAGGAGGCAATGCCCCATTGTTTGCTGCCCGCGCTGCTTCAGAGTTGGGGTAAGGGCTGGGGAAGCGATCAAAAAGCTTGCCAGGCCGCATAAACATCTCGCCGTTTTCATTGGGTCCGTCCTGCACCTCCACCTAACGTGCGAGAGGCCAGCCTCGCGTGTGAGCCCTCCATCTTCCCAAGAGGAGGAGCAGTTATTTGTCCACCTCCACCCGTCACCACCTCAGCTCCCCAGGAGCACGACACGGCCACCAGCCCAGCAGCTCTGCTGGCCCCTTGGAAGGCATGAACCACACGAGGCAGTCCTGGGCAGTGCCAGTGACAGCTAGACCTGGGTCTTCTCCTGTGGTCAAGTTCAATGCCCGCTGCATGCTTTGCTTACCTCCTCAGCCAGGGCCTTGGCTTCAGCTTCGGTGTGGGTAGCTCCCACAAGATTGCGAAAGCACATGTACTCCATGGTGTGGCAAGCTGAGCACACCTGCTTGTACACCTGATAGCCACGCCGGACACTGGGGACATGAATGTTTCTTTCAGGCTGTAAGCCTCACAAGACAGCACTTAAAAACAAGCCAGCCATTGAACCATTAAAAACAGGAAGCAGACAAGCAAGTACGAGAACATCAGGCTTCCTCCGGTTGGGAATGGCGCTGCCACAGGGGCACTGATAAGGCCCAAGACCAGGACTCCTCTGAACGGGCCTGGTATCATGCCCAGTGCCAAAGAGGTAGGCAACTGGGCAAAGCAGAGTGCCCAGGGAGCACAGAAATGACCATTTGGACTGAAATGACAGGACACTAGTGCAGGAACAGCAAAGGGAAGAGCAAGGAAACGGAAGCAGCTGAAGTGTTTCCTAAGCGCCATCAGGTCACCATTACTGGGGCGGGACACGGCGTGAAGAGAGACAAGGTCTGGCGGCTGCTTTCAAAATCCCAACCAGGACCTCCAGCGCACTCGGCTGGGTGTCTGGCTGACACCACATACCTGCTGTGATCCAAAGCGGTCAGGAAGCCACCGTGGCTCCAAGGGTAACTGGGTGGATGAAGCTCCAATTCAGAGGCATTCACAGCCTTGTGAAGGGCCCAGGCCAGGCCTGCCCCACCGACCGTCAGAACACCCAGAGCAGTGAGAGCTACTCTCTTGCCCCGGGAGAGACCCGCCAGAGACGCCACATTGGCCTGGAAGGAAAGGCAACCTCGTGAATCCCCTGCAAGCACTGACGGGCGTCGCGGTTCTTCAGAACAGGCAAGAGGTCCTCTAAGGCCGACGGCCACATACAACTGAAACAGCAAGCGCCTGCCCCTGTCCTTGACTGATTCCGCTGCTTTGCCGGATTCTTGTCTCCCAAAGAACTCCGCTCTACCGTTCGGTACGAACGCACCCGCTGAGATGCGCCCGTATAAGTGGAGATTGGCGACCAACGCTGGAACGGGGGGAGTCGCTTCTCCGCACGGGCGAATCAGACGCGCTGAGCCCCGAGCTTCGCAGAGGCTCAAAACGCCGCTTCCAGCCTACTCGGGGGTTGGGTTCGCCCCACGTTCTTGGCCGCGGAACGGTCCCGGTGGAAGGGCCGGGGGGGCAGCAAGGCTACC